AATTCAGCGTGAGTCCTATTTAAACTAGACCAGGTTAGTCCAAGGCCCCACTCGTTTGGAAAAGGCTACTCTTAAGTAGGACTGGTGTTGGATTGTAGCCCAGATCCTGGATACATGCAAAGCAGTGAACAAAGAGGAGAGAATCGGGGTCTGGCTGCCTCGGTGGGAGAGATCACCGCAAGTGCAGGAAATATCCTGAGGGTTGCCTTTGGCCACTGGAAGCTGGAAACCGCGTGGGTTTGTGTCCTGGAAACTCGAGATTAAATTAAAACCGATTGTATCCACAACAAGCCCATCGATTTGGCACTTGTGCTCGTATTCCTGTTGCTGCTGCTGCTGCTGTTCTACCGACTCCATGCCTGCTTGCGCAAAACTTGGACAGGCCAAACGCGTTGTTGTTTCGGGTCGAGCTTGCTGCCAGGAGTCGCTGGCATCTGGCACCGGCGTAGGGGTGAATGTGCTATACAGTCGAGCCACTGAAACAACAGCCCGACTAAAAATAGGGTTGTTTTCTGTACTAAACCGCCTTGTAACTTTGTTAGTCATCACCGATCCCTAAAATAAAGTTCGGTTCGCAGTCTCTCCTGGTAGCAGCGCCTGTAAACAAACTTCAGGAGCAGGCGGGAGGGAGAGCAGGCGGGAGGGAGAGGAGGAGAGGGGTCCCTTTAGCTGCTGGCGGCCGCAGTGAATGGAGCCGGAGCGGGGGGCCGCCTGGGCCCAGCGAGCAGGCAGGAACATCTGGCGAGGGGGGCCAGCTGCGCGCCGTAGCTCCGGCGGCCAAGGTTAGCTGGCTGCCGCCGCTGCCGCTGCTGCTCCTGCCGCCGCCGCCGCCACCTTCTCCTCCTCCTCCTCCCTCGAAAACTCCCTCGGACTTGGCACCGAGCCACGGTGGTCCAGGCAACGGCATTAAACAGGAGGCAACAGACTGGGGATTCCGTCATTCCAGTGCCGAAGCGGCGGGTGGGGGAGAAGGCCCTGAAAGCAGACAGGAAAGGACCGAGGCAGGGAGGCGCTTTCATCCGCGCTCAGCGCCCCCAGCACCTTCGCTGCCCCGACCTTACAGCCGGGGGCCGGGGGGGCAGGGCAGGGTAGGGCAGGCGGCTGCACGGGCCGGGATCGGCGGCGGAGAGGCCGTTCGCGGGCGCAGGGCACGGCCGGGTCCGCGGCTGACGCTGGCACCTCGCGTGGCCCTGCCCGGCCTGCGTAACAGTCCCCGCCGCCCGCCGCGGGGAGCGCAGCGTGCCGGCGAAGGGTCCTTCCCGAGCCCGGCCCCGGCCCCGTTCGGGCCAGGGGCAGTTCTGGCCCGGAGTGGGGCAGGGACGCTGCGCAGGACGCGCCTGCGCTCTGCGGGGAGGGTGGATGGGCGCGCGCCCGCGCGCGCACGGGGCAATGTGCGCACCACGCGCGCCGCAGCCCCGCCGCTCCTAGTCGCACCGGCAGCGCTAGGCGCCGCGCCCCAGGGCTGCAGCCCCGTTCCTCTAGGGGGGCATCTGCCCCACGACCTTGCTCCTCGTGGGCACTGACTGAGACAAGGTTCCGTGGCCCGCAGGATCTCTGTTGCTTCCGATTCCCCTGCTTCAGCTGGCCTCCTGCCCACAAGTCCTTCGCCCTTGCTGCTGCACCGCTCGAATCTTTCTACCTGAGGTTTGCCCCCCCCCCCCGCGCCCCATAAGTGTGTCTGATCCAGACATCTCTCGTTCCAGATAGGGCTGCTCTTAGAAGACCTTTAAAGACACACAGAAAGCGGGACTTCAGACGCATGTGGATGAACGTCCCCCACGGTGTGCGCCTTGCTTGATTTTTTGGGTGGGGAAGGCTGCTTGTTCTGTCCTGTGGGCTGGGTGATTTTGAGGGCCTAGCCTTGCCCCTTTCCAGCCTCGCTGGGCCATTGCCTGTGTCCATTCCTCCGCTGGATTCTTTGGGCCAGTCACTCTCCTACGAATGTGGGCTGTCAGCTGGAGGTGTGAATGCAGCTCCCAAGAATTAGCATGCCTGCTTGCTATGTTAGAATCGTGAAGGCACCTTCACCTGTGGAAGTCATTGTTAGATGTTTACAGCAAGAGCGTGTTCATTTGCGAGGAACATTTCTCTCTTTACCGGTCAGTGCTCAAATTAAGTGGGCAAAGGAAGAGCATCTTTCATTAAGCCCGCAAACCCAAATCTTGATCGTAGCGTAATCCTGGGATCTGCACAGTAGCGAAGGGGCCTTTTCTGCCCTCCGTCTGTAATTCGAACACAGTTTTCTGTGCAGTTAAAGCATGCGCAGTGGGTGCCTGCTCCTACCGCATGCGGGGTTGTGGGGGGGGGGGGGTATGCATAGACTTAAGTTCTGTTTTTACACGTGCACACGATGCTGTGCGATTGTGATAACATCCAGGTCCGCCGGCCTAACGTTTATTATGATGGCAAATGTATTTTGCTGAGATGCTGTATACAGGCAGGCAACTGCGTGTGCGTGCGCGCAGGTGAAGAGGGCTTTGTATCTTTGGAATATGATGTGCACCTCTGTATGTTTAGGATTTGGGGCACGGGGGGGGGGGGGGGGGGGGGGGGGGGGGTGGATGGCATTTTGACCCTGAATGCGTATATCTCGTGTGCGTGTCTAACCAGCCTCTAACCTATACGAAAGCTTGCCTTCTCTCTTTAACGCACCTTATGCCAAAGGATCTCCGCTTTCCCTAGCTCTTTACAAGCTCGGGAAGTCCCCTGATTACTAGTGTGGCCAGTAAGTGCCGAGGTGGGGGCAGGCATGCGTGCCCACCTTCGCTCAGCCCTAACCCTAACCCTTTGCCACCCCTCTCTGCTCTCTGAAGAAAACAGTACTGGATCTTTCACCCGGAAAGGGAACTCCCCAAAGTCCAAAAACCAAGAGAAGACTAAATTCGGAACTACCATTAATCATCCCCCACTTAATCTGTTGCTCACTTCTTCCCTCTTACCCATAGGGGAAAACCCCTCCCCGCTTTGCCGAACCCCGCGACTTCAGTCGACTAGAGTCGCAAGAGACCTGAAAGCGCGAAGCTTCCCCAGCAGCCACCGCACGGAAGCTGAAAGAGCCCCCGCCAGTGGGAGGTGGTCCCGTAAGGAGGGATGCTGCTGCCCGCCCCGGATCGGGGGCTATCCCGCCCCCCGCCCCCCGCCACGTGTAGTAAAGGAGGGATTGAAGGGACTTTAACTTATGTTTTTCATCTAAAATATCATAATCACCAGGTGATCCAGGTCCGTGGGATCTTATTGTACAACTGGGTTTTGCTTTTTTACACAAACAGCAGGCATCTGATGCCCAATCGATGGTTAATTATTAAGGATGGAGTGCCAAATCCACCCTTAATCTGGTGGAGAAGGGCCTGCATACAGGACAAGAAGAGATCTCACTAAGACTTTTTTCAAGAGTGATAAAGTAGCACGCCACTTTAGACACACTTGGATGCGATTCTCCCCTTCACTCGTGCTTCTGTGCCATCGACTTTAGTGGCGCTTGTTCCTACTCTCTTTGTTCACAGCAGACCGCGGGATGAATCCCACGTGCTCGCCTTCGTCCTCTTTCCGTTCCCAACCCGGAGGAATGCTCAGCATTGCGCGCCCGGATGGGCAGCGCGCACGTGGTGCACGGCCCGGTCTTTGGGAACGCTTCTGCTAAGACGGATCGAGGGAAAAGATAGCATTTCACGGATGCTGCAACGCTAATTATGCCGTGGTTAGAAGCCTCCGGATTCCTTGATGAAGACCAACCCCCTCCCCCGCCAGAAAAGATCCTTGTCTGCAATTCAGTCGGGAGGTCTTGGAGCGCTCGAAGGCTCCCGCGGGCAGCTTAGTTCCCGCAGTGCGATGCAACAGCAGAACCGGTCTCTCCGTCGTTGCGTCGGCTTCACGGCCGCAGCTCCAGAGACCGTCGGAGCCGCTTCAGGTTCGGCTGGCCTGGCGCCACGCACGGGGCGCTGCGAAGCCGAGGTCTGGTGGCGCTCGTCTCCATGCCCCGGAGACTGCAAGCGCCCCGATCCTCCTTGTGCCAAGTCCAGCAGAAGCAAGCACGCTCTCCCCTTCTGACGGTTACAGGGCCGAGAAAAAGAGGCGAGACATCCTAGCACACGCACAAAGCCGGGCGGAAAGGGAAAGGATTGACTTAACAGAAGGCTTGAACGACACCCAAGTCTGGCGTGTTACTCAGGGCCTTCAGAAAAAGTTGTTGCGCCTTCTCCTGTCAAGCGTCCCCGTGCGTTATTTGAGGGGCGGCGTGTGTGTGTGTGTGTGTGTGGGGGGGTTCTTTACAGAGGGAGGAACTGCAGGTTTAAATCTCCTGACTTCTCCGCTCTCGCTTCGCCTTTTTATGGCAGCGTTGCCCCTGCATTTACAAAATTCCACCAATGTTCATAAATCTCAGTTATCGAAGCTTGCTCCTCGGAGTCTGTGAGTAATTTTGCAGAAGAGGATTTTCCTTTCTGCTGCTTTGCCAGTTGATGCTCTTTTCCAAATTTCCACGGCGGGGGAAGCCTGAAGACTGCTTAAAAAAAAAAAAACCCTAATGATTTCAGCATGCGTAGTTTTTGTGTCTCCCTCCACCTCTTCACGGCTTCACCTCCCTTGCTTCTTTTCTGTTCGCTCTTTCAAAAGAAGAGCGCCTTTGCGTGCCCGCCCCCGCCCCATTTCTAACAACCCATCCTCCACACACAGGCGCGCGCGCGCACAGAGAGAGAGAGAGACAGAGAGAGAGAGTTTGAGACTAGACTGCGTTGGGTCGGTGCTCTGGTTTGCAGCAATGGGCGCGCTCGGTAGCCAAGATCTGCTCCTTCAGCAGAATGTGCGTGGAGCGCGGGTCCTCTTGGACGCCTCTCGCCTCCTGAAGCTTCCAGCGCTTTTCGCTGCTGGCTGGCTCCTTCGCCAGGCAGCTGAGAGCAGCTCGAGGACCCGTGACATCACGGGGCTCTGGGCGGGGAGAGGGGCTGGGAGGGGGACGGAGGGAGGGGGGTGTTTTCCAGCTTTAAAAAGGCAGCAGTCGCCGAGCAGCCGTGCGTCAGAGAGAGACTTAGAGGCTCTTCAAACTTTCCTGATCAAAATAAACCCCAGCCCTGAATAAGACACCAGAAGGAGGGAGGGAGAGTGTGTGTGAGTAACTTCCCAAGAGCGCGCTCTCTCTCCTCTCTCTCTCCGCTCTTCTCTTCGGAGCAGGATCGCTTGCTCCTGAAGTACACCCCCTTCCCCCCTCCCCTCTCTCTCCTCCCTCCTCCCGGGTCCCATTCCAAGCTCTTCTCAATGACGTCTCCCTGGGGACAGCTGCTTAAGATCTAGCATTATTCCGTCATAAAAAGCAAACAAACAATCCCCGCCTCTCCTTGCCCCCCACCAAAACAAAAAAACAAAAAAACACTCCCGGCGTTGGCTTTCCAATTTCGTTGGAGACCGGGAAACACCAGCGTCGACTCCACCTTTAATATATTTAGCGACGCGGGTGTAATTGCGGGAGCGGAGCGCGCGGGAGGAGGAGGGTCTTGCTCCTCTGCCTTCACCTCACTTTCTTTCTGCTGAACGGATGCCAAGCGGTGATCCTCTTAATCAAATCCTCTTTGCACCTCGAGATCCAGCCAAGTGGTGAACGAGAAACTTTTGGTGCGTTTCCAGCCATCTCAGCGGCAGCAGCATGAAATCCGCAGAAGAAGGTAAGGAACCAGCTCGCGGCTTCTCTGCTCCCTCCCCCCGGTGCATTTTCTTTGCATTTGACATTTGCTCGTCCTGCTCCTTGAAGACAGGGAGAGCCCCGCCAGGGGAAACCCGGGAAGGCCCCGGGCTTGGAGCTCGTCCGTGCGTGCGTGTGCGTGTGTGTGCGCAAAGGCGGGACGGAGTGGCTGGCCCGGGCTTGGCGCTGGCGGCTGTGATTGGGAGGAGGGAAGCGGTGTCCCCCTGGTGTTTCCCCAAAGCAGCCTTGAGGTTTGCCTGCTGCGACTTCTTGCCAATAGGTGTCTCCTCTTCCTCTCCGATCTTGGCCTTGGGCGCTGGAGATCTTCGAGTCCGGGAAAGGCAGAAGGAGCCCGGGAGAGGCGCGCTCCCCCCCCGCCTTTTCCTTCCCTCTCTTTTAAAGGGACATCGGGGTCCTCCGGGGCGGGGGGCAAACTGTGCGCCGGTGATGCACGGCCGGGCGCCTCGGTTACGCTGGAGGTGGGACGGAGCGAAGCTGATGGAAGCGGCCGGTGAGGAGGGCTGGAGGGTGGGGCAGCCTCTTTCGGAGACCGAAGGAATCCCAGGCCACCGTGGAGTTCTCGAGCGCGCGGCGGCCGCGGTGCGTTGTACGTGTCGAGGCTTCGCAGAGTGCGTGCGGGCGGGCGCAGCCCGGCGCAGCCAGTTACTTTTAACTACCAAACCCCAGCGCTGGATATTGCAGGCTGGATTGTGATGAAATATCATTTGACCCAAAGAGAGTGAGAAAGGGAGAACGAAGCCTCCTGACAAAGCACACCCTATAATTAAAATCGCTTGTAATGTTAATAAAAACCGTCCTCGGGTTTTTAGTATAGGTTTTCTTCTTTAAGGCAAGGGATGATTGGAAGCTCAAAAAGGGCTCCGGGCCTCCCTTTCCCAGAATGGTCTATTTTGCTGGCTAGTTGTGTTGCCCTAAACATCATTCCCACTGATCCGGGCCTCCCCTGGCTGGCCCGTGCTTCTGCCGATCCGTTTCTAAGGAAAGCTTTCTGACCTGAGGATTTAAGTAACTTTGAAAAGGCCTTTCGGGAATGGTGTAGAACGAAGCAGAACAACCTTCTCATACAGGAGCGGTTCGGTGGACTTGATTCAGAAGATTCGAAGCTGTCTGGAAGCTGCAACCTGTTGCCACACACAGGAGATCATTCAGAACAGTTCTATGCTGAGCAACAGGAGAGGCAGAAAGATTCACTTGATGATCTGGGCAATCTTGGTCGCTTATCAGAACCAGCCCACGAAAAGCCAAGACCGCTTCTGCTGACTGAAAGAACTGAGATGATTCTTGCATTCCCTGCCATATTGAAAAAGTCAGAATTGTTGACAGAGGGATATGTTTATGTATAGTAAAGATATGGCAGTATTGACATAGATAGGTGCGTGAATATCCACCGTAAATTACTGTATATAGATAGAGTTGATCACTTAGCACCGTAACTTGGATCTTACAGGGCTTTTTTCTGGATTGTGCCCTAAATCTGCTAGCAGGTGCAGTGAAATTTTTGGCTGCTTGTATGCAACTTCATGCAGCTGTGTAAATTCTAAGATTTGGTGCCTTAACTCTTCAGAGAAGGCTTCTGTTTTGAGACAGTCTTTGCTCTGATAATACGGATGTGTTGTTCTGGATTTATTTCAAAGCGAAAGCTCCCGTGTCTCAAGACACTGTGGGTTTGTTTACATGCAATCCTGACATTCGGCTTCTTCATGGTTTTCCCAGGTGAAATGTTACCTGTGGAATGTAACTGAGATGGAATGTGACAATCCTATGCATGTGCACACAAATGTAAGTCCCATTGAGTTGAATGAAGCTTAGTCTCATGTAAGTGAATCTAACATTGTAGCCTTAGCCTGAAAGCCTAACAGTACCATTCTGGGAGCAAGCACTATTGAACACAATGGGACTTACTTCTTAGTAAATTTGTATAATATTGCACCATGCTGGCTGGGAATGCTAGGGGTCATAGGACCTTTTCCTATCTAAACATAAGTCTCCTTGCATTGGCAACACCACTATTGGATATAGTGCACTGTAGAACCCACCGTTTCTGAGTAGATATGTCCATTATCTGGAATATTTCATCCATCATTAGATCAATTTATTCTACAGGACAGTTATTGGAAAAGCACAGTTGCCTGCACGTGTTGTCTAGTGCCAGTGAATCGGCAAAGGTTCAAACATAGCTTCAGATTAAATTGCAACTTTAGTAACTTCCTTCTCACAGCACTTCAGTGGTTGTGTGGGCAGCCTTTTTAATATCTGAAAAAACAAAAGCATGCAACTGATCCGACTTCAGCAGTTTCATGCATACTTGTAGCAGGCCTCAAGCACATGGAGGCCTGACCAAAATGAAGCACTTCCCCAAAGAAGAAAAGGTCTGGTGGTTTGGCTGTGATGCGGGCCAGTTGGGGGAGGAGCAAACAATTCCAACTCCACACTTCTTGGAAACAGTTGGGGAGACGTTCTTATACGTGTTTGGTGTGGAAAACTGAGCGTAGGTGTAAATGAGAAAGGATCTGCACACTTGCATGCATATCTTTACTTTGTAGAGGCTCCCTTTTTAAGGCTCTTTCCATCTTGATGGGACTTCATGTCCTTTTCTCCTTTGATTTTTATACACCTGCACACTGAGACAGAGTAAAGGTATCAAGAAAATGTCACTCTGTTTTGTCTTAGGTATGCCTAGGCTCCTTCACACCTGATTAAATAACTATTAATATGTAGAGGTGAAAAAATTACTGGAAATTTTGAAGTCACCATGAGAAATAGAACATTTTTTTCCTGGGAAGGAGGATGTTCAGGAAAAAAGGAAAGAACGAAAGAACAAGCATTTTAGTAGTTTGTACAGATCCATGGTTACTTTGTTGCTTTAGGACTGCCTTCCCCAACATGGTGGCGTCTACTCATTTGAGTTTCAGCTCCCATGAGCCTCAAACATCATAGTCTGTGGTCAGGAATGCTGGGCACTGGAAATGTTCAAACATCTGGAGGACACCACACTGGGGAAGGCTGCCTTAGGAACATAAAGTGATCTTTATGTTCCTAAGGTTATATTATGTATAACTGTGTTTGTTCATAAAATAATCATTATATATAAGAACTTACGCAAGTAAACAGGTAAAGAGGGCAGTCTAATGGAGGTGCCCATCATCTCCAAGCTCAGAAGATTATGGGTGTCCATGCAGGTCAGGAGGAGTGCTGAGACAATCAGAGAGATGCTTACCTTTGGCCATTTAGCTGATGAGCTTCAAAGGGAGAGGGAAATAAGCTGGAGCACCTGTCCCAGCCCACTCTCCTCTTCCCTCCATGGCACCCTCTTTAGCTCTTCTCCAAGATCCATCTTATGATCTTGGAGATGTGACTGATAAGATGCTTTCTACACAGGTTATTTTGGGGTGGGAAGGGATATGTGGATGCCCAGTTCGAACACTGGATGTTGTTTTCTAACCTCACAGCTAGGAATCCAAGTGATCCTAGAACCCTACAGATGCTGCCATCACTCTGCTTATAAATGTGTTGTTAGTGTCCAAATAAACTATACTTCTCAGTGCAATATAACAGAAATGATGATGTTACGAGCAAGCCAAGTTATACACAACATATTTTATCTTCCTATTTAATGTCTGACCAGAGAGAATGTCAACATGTAGTTCCTTAAACATCAGAATCATCCTAGGAGCCACAAGCAGGAAGAACTAGAGGCAGAGGAAAACTGGTGTATAGTAAATGTTACTAGTGTAAGAAAGTTTAGGGAAACTCCTACATCTGTTCCTATTTGTGAGGTGAAACTTAGCTTTTCCTTCCGGTTAGATTTTTCTATCAAGCTTTTATTCAGCTGAGAAAGATTCGGTTTAGGGAAGGTAATCCACCATCTTTAATTTAAAAACTTTTCTTCAATCTTATCTGAAAGAGACATTTTATTCATTTCTGTAAGTAATTTCCAGTAATTTCCATTTGTTTGTATGTATGTTTGTTTGTTTTGAAGTAGTAAGGTCAATCTTGCTTGTAGCATAGAAGCTGGGCTGCTGAGTTTCTTTTAGGTAGAAAGGATTTATTTCAGAGGCAGCAGTTTAAAAGTTGTATAGTTTAGGTAGCATTCCCTGGTGGTGTTTATTTAAAATAGTGCCTGTGAGTTCCACAGACTGAAGCCTCAAAGCTAATTAAAAAGGAAAGGAAGGTGGGATAACCAGATTCTGTACCATTGCATCTGGTGACACTCCTGAAAAACAATGAGTTTTCCCTCCTCAGTGTGGGTTTTAGATTATATCTATATTAATTGATTGGTACAGCATGTAACCAGAACAAGCTCAGACACATGACCCTGTAGAGCGAAGCTGAGTGTGACAAGAATGCAGATACTTTTCCATACTATGATATGATGACTGTACTCACTTGACTTGGAACATTCCTAAATGTCTATCAATAGAAAATATAGTAGATCGATAATTTTAATAAGGAATGGAAAAATAGGCAGGGGATCTTACACATAGAATTTTCAAAAATATGTCCATGACTTCATTATTTCCAGACACTTTATATCCCTACATTTTCTAGAAAAGTGTTCTGATGGTTTTTAGAAATCATTTGAAGAGGATGAAGACAGAGTAATAATATAGGGGCACCTTGAATTCATGTCTAAAGAAAATATTTCATAAGTCAAAGCTGCTTAGTTTCTCATGAAAAACAAATGGTCCTTGGGAAAACAGTGGGGGGAAAGGGTTTACTCCAAAAGCTTTTCCAGTTTTTTCTGAGCCTTCACTTCTCTACTAATAAGTTGTCTCCATGTAGAAATCCATCCTGCATTCTGTCATAATCCAAGGCTCTTCCTAAATATCCCCCGTTTCCAAATGTGAGATAGCTCAGGTGACCCAAGAGACTCTTTCTTCTCCCTTGTGACCAAGTGCTCTCCCCAGAAAGCCTTGTTGCTTTTATTATATTTTGCAAGCTCTTCTAAGAGTCTGCAGTCTG